CAATATTATACCCAGCAAGATTATCCTTCATATGGGAAGTAAAGATAAAAAACATTCTCAGATAAACAAAGCCTGAAAGAATTTACCAACTCCAGGCCAGTTCTTTAAGAAGTTCTGAAGGGAGTGCTATGCCTAACAAACTAAAGTCAGACAGACAGAAATCAGAAATCAAGAACAATCAAGAAAATGGCTAACTTAACGATAGGAACAAGTCCAGAAATATCAATAACAACATTGAATATTAATGGATGAAATTCTCCAATCAAGAGACAAAGACTGGCTGAATGGATCAAAAAACAGAAACCCTCTATCTGTTGCCTACAAGAAGCACATCTCATGGATAAAGATATACATGGACTAAAAGTGAAGGGCTGGAAAAAGGTATTCCATGCAAACAGCTCAAAAAAGAGTTGGAGGCACAATACTGATTTCAGACAATATAGGCTTTAAGACAAAACTGTAAGAAGAGTCAAAGAGGGACATTATTTAGTAGTAAAAGGGCTAAATCATCAAGAAGACATAACACTATAAATATCTATGCACCCAGCTCAGTACGTGAAGGAAAGACTGCTAGACCTATAAGGAGAGATAGGTTGTAACACTATAGTCATTGGGGATCTCAACACTCCATTATCTCCTTTAAAGAGATCTTTTAGACAAAAAATAAATAGACAGATATAGGACCTAAATGATACTATAAACTGAATGGGCTTGACAGACATCTATAGAACTTTCCACCCTAAGACCACTAAATATACATTTTTCTCACCCACACATGAAATCTTTCCAAAGATCAATCATATGATAGGGCACAAATCAAGCCTTTACAGATTCAAAGGCATAGAAACTATATCCAGCATCTTCTCTAATCATGATAGAAATAAACTTGATATTAATTTCAGGAAAAATCCTCAAAAATACACAAATACATGGAAACTAAACAACCTACTTCTGACTGACTTCTCAACTACTAAAGAAATTGAGACTGAAATAAAAAGATTTATGGAAACAAATGATAATGAGTACATGAGTTTTCATAATCTATGGGATACTGCAAAAGTAGTCATAAGAGGGAAATTCTAACTACTAGTACACATAGGAAAAGGCTGGACAAGTGGCAAACAGACAACCTAACATCATGCCCCAGGGAACTGGAAAAACAACAACAACAAAAATTCCAAAAAATGCCAGGAGAAAAGAAATAATAAAGATTTGAGCAGAAATAAATAAAACAGAAAATAAGCCATACAGAAAATAAATGAAAGCAAAAGATGGTTCTTTGAAAAGATTAACAAGATTGACACACCATTAGCTAGACTGATTAAGAAGAGAGAAAGAAACCAGATTAATCAAATTCACAATGAAACAAGCAATATTACAACAGACACAACAGAAATACAAAACATCACTAGAGGATACTATGAACAACTAACTATACGCCAACCAACAAGAGAACCTGGATGAGATGGACAAATTCCTGGGTACATATAATCTACCAAGATTGAATCAGAAGGACATAGAAATAGACCCATAATGAGCAGTGAGATTGAATCAGTAATAAATAACCTCCCAACAAAGATGTCTTTTAAAGAAGATTTTCATAGTTTTCCTTGTAAAGGTCTTCGACTTCCTTAGTTAGGTTTATCTCTAGGTATCTTATACATTTTGTGACCGTGGTAGAAGTGATTATTTTCTTCAGTTTTACCTTGGTCAGCTTGTTGTTTGTATGTAAGAATGCACCTCCCGGTCCTGATGGCTTCATCTCTGAATTCTACAAAACTTTTAAAGAAGAGTTAACTCCCATCCTACTCAAACTATTTCTAAAGATCTAAAAGGAAAGAATCCTCCTGGACTCATTTTATGAAGCCTCTATGATCCTCATCCCCAAAACAGATAAAGACATTACAAAAAAGGAAAACTACAGACCAACATCTCTTATAAATACAGATGCAAAAATTCTCAGCAAGATACTTGCAAATTGTAGCCAAAAACATACAAAAAAAGATTATTCATTATGGCCAAGCAGGCTTTATTCAAGGAAGGCAAGGGTGGTTCAATAGTCACAAAACCATAAATGTAATACATCATATTAAAAGAATGATAAAAACTGTATGATCATTTCAATCGATGCAGAAAAAGCATTCAATAAAAGACAACATCCGTTCATGATTAGGACTCTTAGCAAAATTGGCATAGAAGGCTCTTTTCTCAACACAATACAAGCCAATATATGAAAAGCCTATAGCTAACATTATACTGAATGGGGAATAGCGGAAAGCTTTTCCACTAAAAACTGGTACTATACAAGGATGCCCTCTCCTTTTCAATATAGTGCTGGAAGTCTTAGCCAATGTAATCAGAAAAGAGAACAATATAAAAGGCATTCGGGAAAGAAGAGTTGAAAATATCTTTATTTGCAGATGACATGATTGTATACTTATAAGATCCAAAGGTATCCATGAACAAAAGTCTTGATAATAAAGGAATACAGTAAAGTGGCAGAATACAAAATCAACATCTAAAAATCAATAGCATTCTTACATACAAACAACAAGCTGACCAAGGTAAACTGAAGAAAATAATCACTTCTACCATGGCCACAAAATGTATAAGATACCTAGATATAAACCTAACTAAGGAAGTCAAAGACCTTTACAAGGAAAACTATGAAAATCTTCTTTAAAAGACATTGAAAAGGACACAAAAAAGCAGAAGGATACCCCATGTTCCTGGATTGGAAGAATTCATATAATCAAAATGGCATTTCTACCTAAATTAATCTACATATTTAACACAATTCCAATCAAATTACCAGAGACATTCTTCATACATCTAGAAAAGATAATTATAGAATTTGTGTAGAATCATAAAAGACCCCGTATTGCCAAAGCAGCCCTGAGCAAGAAGAGTGGAGAGGGCGGCATCTCACTCCCTGATCCCAAAATATATTATAAAGCTGTGATTAAAAAAAAGGGGGGGGCATGGTGTTGGCACAAAACAGACATGTGGATCAATGGAACAGAATAGAGATTCCAGAAATAAACCCAAAAACATACAGTCAACTGAGTTTAAACAAAGGATATCAGTCAATTCAGTGGGAAAGGGAAATCTCTTTAGTAAATAGTGCTAGAAAAATTGGGTATCCACCTGCAGAGAGATGAAACTGGATCCCCATTATTCACCATTAACAAAAATCAACTCAAAATAAATCAAAGATCTAAATCTAATACCTCAAACTATAAAACTACTGGTGGAAAACATTGAGGAAATGCTGGAAGAAGCTGGGGTAGGCGAAAACGTCTTAAATAATACTCCCAAAGCATAGGCAATAATCCCAAAAAATAAAGAAGTGAGATTACATCAGATTAAGAAGTTTCTGCACAGTGAAAGACAGAGTAATTAGTGTGAATCAGAAACCCTTGGAATGGGAGACTATTTTTGTAAACTATGCCTCAGATAAGGGACTGATAACCAGAAGATACAGGGAACTCAAGCAGCATACAACACCCCCCCCAAAAAAAAAAACAGATTAACCCAATTAAAAGATGGAAAATGAGCTGAATAAAAAAGTAAGGAAGACAAATAAACAGCCAAAAAGCTTATGAAGAAATGCTCAACATCCCTCATCATAAGGGAGATACAGATTAAAACCACAATGAGATAACACCTAACCTGTCAGAATGGTGAAGATTAAAAATACAAAAAATGGTTAAAAGTTGGCAGGGTTGTGGTGAAACGGGAACTTTCCTACACTGTTGGTGGGAATGTAAATTGGTCCAGCCACTGTGGAAAACAACATGGAGGTTCCTCAAAGATCTACAAATAGAGCTATCATATGATTTAGTAATTCCACTAATGTTCACAAAGGACAGGAGAATGCTCAGTCAGAAAAGTGCTTGCAGATCTGTGTTTCTTGTGGCATTGTTCACAGTTGCTAAGACATGGAACCAACCCAAATGTCCAAGAACAGATGAATAGATTGAAAAGGTGTGGCACTCATGGAATATATGAGTACTATTCAGCTATAAAAAACAACAAGGTCTGACATTTGATAGAAAGTGGATGAATATGGAATATTTATTGCTGAGTGAAGCAAGTCAGGCTATGAAAGAGAGACAGTGTATGTCTCCACTTAACATATACCGACTATTCGTACTCTACAGTAGAGAGACCGAAAGACTGAAGGGCATAAAAGCATGAAAATATTTATGGACACTAGAGATAGTGCGGAAGGAGGGTGGAGAGGGTAAGAGTGTAGTGTAGCGAAGGAAATAAGAGAGAAAAATAGAGATGTAAGACATTTGTAGGCCACAGAAATGGTTTATTACCTGTTGATGATAATCTGTATAATATGCTAACTGGACAGGTTTGAGGCGTATTTCATGTTGGGTAAACTCTTTCTATAAGCTAAATGATATATAGTGATTGAATGTATAAAATAATAATAATAATAATAATAATAATAATAATAATAATAAAACGGAGGGAGATTCGAAGGACAATGGAAGATAAAGTTTTGACTCAAGTATTCTCTTGATTCAGTTGGCTACTAACTTCATGGAGGAATTGACTGTACAATTTATGGTTACTGCTAATTTATAAATCATATCCAATAGCTTTAATAAAATGACTCAATTATGAAGTAAAATCGAGGGTTTTAAAAAACAGAACAAACCTCAGCATTACTAAAACCCATAGCATCAAAATTAAACTTGGTGATAATGAGTCATTTGAGATAATATATAATTACCAGACTATTCTCTTGGATTTTCAAACATGACATATTAAACAGTGAATTTTTTCCATTCTTACTTACAACTGCTCCTTTTGGCCCTGTCAAGATAACACTTATCCCTGAGACATAAACAGTAATATAGAAGAATTCTTACACCAAGGTCACTTGCTACACAATGTAATAATAGCCTCTACCTTAAACAGTAAATAATATGAAAAAAATAAGATTAAACAACATAACGATATGAAAATACATAATTCTTTACTTGTTTATTGAAGCTGTAGGTGAAGTCTGGGGAGTCTTTTCATCTTCACCTTGAGAACTACTGAATTCAGAATCTTGAAACCGCTTTCCAATCTTTGGTCGTTTTAAATTACTACTTCGAGTACGAGTTGAAACTGGTGTTTTGTCATGACCTGAGGAAAAAAACAGTAAAACTGCACTTAACTGATTATGTACTCAATGGATTACCTATTAAAATGCAACAACTAGTATTCCCCCACCCCACCATCACAAAGGTTGCCCCTCTATTACTGACATCAGGCTAAGAAAACAAAGTCGGTGTCTTCTTCTAAATTATGAAATAGTTGTGTCAATATTCATTCTTCACATTTTGATATTACCTTGAGTTCTGCAAAGTGGTCTGCATTTTCGCTTATATTCTCTCTTGATAATCTTGAGAAATAAGCAACAGAGATACTACCATCCTTATTTCACAGGTGAGGAAATAAGGAAAAGAGAGAACAACTGCTCACACAACAAAATTGGTGGCAGTGGTGGTACAAGAACTCAGAGGTGGATTTTAGAGCTGGATAAGGCCAAGTCATTACTTATTCTCGGTCTCCCTCTCTCTCCCTCTCCCTCACACACACACATACCAATAAACACACATACACACATGTACACCCTGATTTTAAGTGTCTTAAATACTAAGACCAGCTGAATTTCTTACCTTCTGAAGTACTGGCAAAGGCATCTTTTAAGGAATCGATCTAAAACAGAGATAGAATGAAATCAAAGTTTTAGACTATTTTTAATTCCCTATGAATATATTCTATTTCCACCTTCAAAGAAAAACTTCTATCAATAGAACATTTTCAGATAGCATTTTTGTAAAGAAATTTACTTTAAAAATAAAAAGGTTAGTTAGTTTATTAATAAACTAATAAACCCTTAGTTTATTATGAGCCTAAGAACTTACACAGGTTATGCAGTATGTTCTAGTGGATACAACGGCATGCCCTAGTATTATGTATCATGCCCTAGCCACCTTTTCGTCTCTGTCCACATAGCCTCCCTTTACTCTTTTACCTTGGACTTGAATATCCATTTGCTTATAAATAATCCTGACATACAACCCCCACCTTTCTTCCTGATTCTAAAGCTCTTTTCCTAAAGAAGTATCTATCTCCCAGTGGCTATCCCATCCAATTTCACATCTGACTTATCCCAAAATGAGCTGTATCATTCCCCAATATTATTCCCTATCTCAGTTAATGGTAGTAACAACTGACTCATTCTAGCCAGAAAACTGTGAGGCAGTAATAGTTTCTTCCTATCCCTCCTTCAATTACAAAGCTTGACAATTTCAACTGAAGAACCTCTCAAAACTTTCCAATTCTTGCATTACCATGACTTTAGTTCAGGCCTTTATTAGTTTCTTTAACCTGAACTGTTCCAATAGCCTTCCCACTGGTATGCCTTACTCTAATCTCCCCCCCGCTCTGATGAAGTAGTGATGCTTCCAATCACAAAACAAAGATAGGGTTCTTGTACACATGGGAGAGCTAGGTGGTCCGCTGTTAGAAAACAGAGAAGTAAACAGATATACTACGGGATAATACATGCCTCAACTGTTATAGAAGAATTTGGACATATATAGCACAGGATGACTTTTAAAGTGTGGGTGGGAATTCTGTGACAAGGCTGTTAGGGCATTCTAGAGGATAACATGTCAGAAAAACACAGAGGTATGAAAGAAAATGGCATATTTGATATGGAAAAGGTATTTGGTATTAAAGAGTCGACAATCTGTATTCTAGGCAGAGATAAATAAATAAAGGTTTATTAGTACTCTTTTTTTAAGCAAAGGAGTGACAGTTTGTGATGTCTGTGGACTTGCATGTAGTTGACTGTGGTTTGGGTACTGGACCCAGCAGCTTAAAACTCACGCCGGGTATGTGTGCGTGCATGTCCAAATCCCAAGAGGAGAGCGGAAGAGGGGATGTAGCATGGCCATCCCCACTTCGTGATGATTTCTCACTTTCTATCTCCCTGTCTCTGTCTCTCTGGCAAGCACATGTCCCCTACAGCAAAAAACATTAAAGTAGTAAAAGAATACGAATTTCAAAAATAAAAGAAAATCTAATTTATTCTGCTAACCTCGTGACGTGATACCTCTATACTACATTCTCATTGAAATGGCACAGTTAACCCCAGCAGAGAAGGTGCTTGCTGCTAGGACTCTATGGTCCACAGACTAAAATCATATAGGTGGCCTAGGTTCAAACCTGGTCCAGCCTAAAGGCTGGTCATAATGGCATGTGCCTATAATTCTAGCAACTCAAGATGCTTAGGGAGTGGGACTGTGAGCTCAAGGCTGGCTTGGGCAACATAAAGAGACCTTGTCTTAAAAAAACAAACAAACAAAAACAAACAAAAAAACAAGCCATGTATGGTGGCATGCACCTACAGTCCCAGAGGCTGAGGCAGGAGGATTATGGTATGGCAAAACTATTTTTTTTTAAGAGAGATTTTTGCTATAGGGCATGTGCAGTCCCCAGAGAGACAGAAAGCAAGAAATCAACCCCTCGGTGGGATGGCCATGCTGCAATCCCTTCTCTTCTATTCTCCTCTCAGGATCTTGGGTGGGTAAGGCATGCATGCATACATGCCTGGTGAGAGTTTTAAAGTGTCAGGTCTGGGACTCGAACCGGAGTTAACTATGTGGGAGTCCAGCAACATAACCATTATGCTATCTACTGGTTTCATGGCAAAACTTTTTTATGAAAGAAAAATAAAAGGACACATTTAAAATTATTTGGCTTACTACTAAGGTACATCATTACCCAAATTACATCTGTGGGAAGAACAGATTTTTCTCTTTTATTTGATTTTATGGTATCTGGCCAATATTAAGTTAGCCTGTATCTGAGAAATTTGGACTGTGATATAATAGGGCTTTATCTATTTTATTCTTCCAAACATTAAAAATTGGGACCAACAGGTGATGGTGGTGAAGGGGCAGAACTCTCACATGGCCAACCATAGTTTGAGTCCTGGAGCCAGTTTGCTTCCGCTCTCTCTGGTCAAAATGAAGAATAATGATAAAATTAAATGAATAACTATTTCTTAAAATGTTAAAAAACACATTAAAAACTTTTTCATTCAAATATGGTCACCAGTTATGCTAATTATGACAGGAAATAGCACCAGCCCTGTAGAGTGGCAGTTAAGCCCCACACATAGATATCCAGATCCCACACGACTGACTGCGGTTCAAATCCAAGCCCCACAGGCATGGAAAACACATCAGCCGTATGTGTTTACCTGTCCAAATCCTGATGGAATGGACAAATGGAGGAAAAAGGACTGTGGCATGGCCATATCTCCTGGGGTAGGGGGCAGGGACAGGGAGTGCTTTCTCTCTCTCTCTGGCAATAAAAAAAAAAAAAAAAGATGGGAAACAAGAAGCACAAACATGTGCCTGTGCCAGATCGTGGTATGGTGGTTAAAGCAGCTAGAACCCACTTGGCCAGGTGCACGATTCGAGTCCCAGATCCAGTAGCTTGAGAGCCACACTGGGTATGTGCATTTGCCTGCATGTGTCCAAAATTCCAAAAGAAGGGAGAAATAGAGAAAAAACTACAGTGTGACCATCACCCATGGGGGGTACTTTCTCCTATTGTCTCGCTCTCACTCTCTCTCTGGTTAAGTGCACATACCCTCTGACAACAAAAAAAAGCAGCACAAGTAATTCCAAAAGCATTTGTCTCTGAAATGCATGTGCCTCTACATACACATATTCAACACTCACTAAAAATACATTCTGATATACATATATATATATAAAGACTGTAATAAATGCCATCACCACAAAACTCTGCATATATAGACTTTTAGAGCTGCATCACCGGGCCTGTGTTTTAAGTAATATCAAGGAGACAATATATCAGTTCTAGAAAAGGACTTCCTAAATCCTATGGGGTTTAGTAATTGAACCTGTCCTCTACTTTCAAAATACTTAGTATTTCCAAATCGCATTACATTCTATGAAAACCTAGCATATTACAGACTTGTAACTTCACCATCTCTGATCTACTACTAATTCCACTTCTAGAAATTTATATGTGTGGGGAAATAATTATATATGCATAAAGTTTTATGTGCAAATGTGTTCATTCCTGGGACACTTAAAAATGTAAAAAACTTTGGCCAGCCAGCAGAGTGGAGCTTAACATGGCTGGATCCCAGATGAACAACAGTGTGGCTGGAGTTCTGGACCTGCTGGCTTGAAAACCACACTGGACACATGTACATGCGTGCCCAAAATCCTGAGAGGAAAATGGAGGAGAAGGGATTACAACATGGTCATACCCTTAGGGAGTAATTTCTCACTTTCTCTCTGTCTCTCTCTGGCAAAACTTAAGTTCACTATGTTAAGGAAAGAAATGATGGTTTTTCACGTAGAACAGTGTGCTGCTACTTAACCATCAGGTTTTGAGACAATAATACCATGGAAAATGCTTATAATATTATCACCAATGAAGAAAAGCAATCAGAGCATGAAAGAGTGGAAAAAACATGGAGATACATGTTTCATAATATTTAAGTACATATACATTTTTTTAGAATATTTATTTATTTATTTGATTTGATTTGATTTGATTTGATCAGAGAGGGACAGAGCGAGTGAGAGAGAGGGAAACTGAGAAAGCAGGCTGCCAGGTCTAGGACTCCAACAGTGGCCAGTCATGTGGGCGCCCAGTGCCCCAACTACCAAGCCACCTGCCGGTCCCAAGTACATACACTTTTTTTGTTGTTGTCTGAGTGGAGTGAGAGGTTTTTGCTATAGGGTACGTGCACTCGCCAGAAAGACAGAGCAAGACAGAGAGACAGAAAGAGAGAAATCACCCCCCCAGGGGAGATGGCCACGCCGCAATCTGTTCTCCTCCATTCTCCTCTCAGGATCTTGGGCACACATGCACGTGCGCCCGGCGTGAGTTTAAGCCACCAGGTCTGGGACTTGAACCATGTCGACTATGTGGGAGTCCAGTGATATAGCCATTACGCCAACTGCTAGTCCCCCAAGTACATATACTTTTAACAGGGGCTATAGCTGAGTAGTGGGATTACAGATTTTTTTAAAATCTATGTTATTTTATGTATATCCTAAATTACCTTTAATTTTCTTATAACAACATTAACATTAAAATAAGTTTTCAAAGGCAACTGAGACCTTACTCAACAATTATCAGAAGATGCTAAGAAGACTAACACAGTAGACATTATGAAAATTAAATGAATTATAACAGCTAAAACTTAAAGACACACTGAATCTACCTTAAAGAAATACAGAAAGGTTATTTCCTACAGTAAACATACAGTGTACCTACAGTGAGCTGCATCTCGCTAGCCTGATTGTCTTCACTTCCTGTTTCATATTCCGGAACAGATGCGACACCATATTCTCCAGACACAGGTCTTTTAGCTTCATTTTGAGAAACTGCTGTGTGTAAAAAGAATTTTAAAAAGTGTAACCCACTCAATATTTGGTTTTAATTGTAGCACTGTTTGTACTGATTTTCACAGAAGCTCTGAGCAGCAGCATGGACAAAGACTATTGGAATTCCATGTGTGAGACGTTCTTTCTGTATTTTATAATGAAACTTTGCGTTTATAAAAAGTCTGACATTGTTATCTAAGTATTCAGCGAAGTGGAGGACAGAGGCATGAGATTAGGGACTATCTTTGATCTCTTGATGTCTATGGTATGCTGCTTCAGTAATCTATATTTAATTCTTATCCACCATTTCCCTACTAGGCTGGTACATTTTGCTGTACCATTCTAAGTCCCCTTATTCGTGACTCAAAAGTCAATACATAATAAAAAATTCAAAATTTAGACAAGAGGGTTTATTCCTAGAAAGATCCTATTGTAACATATCACTGCCCTGAACTGCAAAACAATCATTAGTAGGCTCTGCTTTTCAAACTGGACTTGTGTTCAAACTAAAAGCATTCCTACCTGGAATTTTAAGTGTTTCTCTCTGCAATGCTCTGGTGACTGGTATTCGCTGGTACCAGTGTCCAACACCTTCAACTTCCCAAAGGAGTTCATGGTCTCCTGGATACTTTTCAAAGTATTGCTTACAAGCTGGAAAACACATTTAGAATTTTCTAGAAATCTCAAATATGAACTCTTTTTGGACAATAGAAAGAAGATGGAAAGTAAGCTGCCCGACTGATTCAATGGGGCTAGTGTAACCTTGAAACCAAACCACCACCAAGGCAGCTCAAGAATAGGTATGGAGCAGCCTCATTTACAAATAAAAATCCCAAATAAAACACTAACATGACCAAGCAATAAAAATTCTAATAAAAAAGGGCTTTGCCTTTAAAGAGAAGATTATTAAATATTACTGAGGGACATAAAAGAACTGATTAAAGAAAATATCAAACATTACAGCATAAAAACACCAGTTCTTACCAAATTAATCTGTAAATTTCAAATAAAACCCCAAGAGAGTGTACTGTTAATGAAACCTGACACAACGTGACCCCAATTTCAAAACCAAAGAATAAAGGGTTAAGAAAACATTCAGGTCTATTAAAGAAGAAAAATAAGAATAAGGACTTGTCCAAGCAGATACAAGACTCATATAAGCCACAGCAATTAAAACCACCAAGCCTACATTAACAGACTGAGGGGTAGGTGAAAAGGAGAAGAAAAATTATCAGGGAATGGGGGAAACAGAACAAAACATCCACCAGGAAAGAACTACACAGAACATTAAAACTCGGCAAACGACACAAGAGACATCATATTTCAGCAGAGGATGGATAAACTTGTTTTAATGGTGCTGAATTCAAGACTTGTACTTAAAAGAAAAAAATAAAGTCAGATCTCACATCAACATCCCTCAAAAAAATAAACTCTATATGGATTCTAAGATCTAACGTGAAAAGCAAAATAATTAAATGAAAACAGTGGTATACTTCTAGGTCACTAGAGTTCCAACAGATTTCTTAGAAGAGACACAAAAATCAGAGTTGATAATAAAAAATGAATATAGACCTGATTGTTAAGATGTAAAAGCTTTCATTATCAGGAACCCTGTAACAGAACTTTCTGGGATAACGGGAATGTGCTTATCAGCGCTGTCCAACACAGTAGTCACAAGCCCCAGGTGGCAACTGAGAAGCTGAACTTGCCATTTTATTTAACTTCAACTTCTATGTAAATCTGTGGCCACTGTATTGGACCTTACTGTTCCATATGAAAACAGTACCATAAAGACCCAGGTGAAGAATTATTTAGAATAAAACAAAGAATTTATAAATCAGAGAATATAAAAAAATTTAAATTGGATTCAAAAGATTAAATTATCCCAACGGAAAATTGAGAGAAGCTATAACCAGAATGAGATGTGAATAGTTCATAACAAAAACGATAAAACCTCAGTAGCTGTCCAGGACATAGCAGATAAAACAAGATATCCTTTTCATACCCTGGGGTAATAACAAGCATCAGGAAGAACAAGGGAAATGGAAACTCCCATACTCTGCTGGCCGGAGAACAATTCTGCAACAGCTAATAAAGGTGAAGAGACATATGATCTGATTCTACTTCTAGATATACCCAATACATCCTATGAGAAGACTTCAAAACAGTTGCAGAAAAATGAAATTAAAATATGAGTTTATTTTGGTACAACAAACATCTAAAATCCATGCATATTTTTCTCATACATTCTCCATGAACTTTATTTTTTTAAGAGAGAGATTTTTCCTACAGGACACATGCATTCCCCGGAGAGACAGAGACAAAAAGCTAGAAATAACCCCCCCTGGGGGGATGGGGGACAGTCATGCCTTAGCTCTTTCTCTTCTATTCTCCTCTTGGCATTTTTGGGCATGTATGCATGCACTAGCACCAAGCATAAGTTTTAAGCCACCAGGTCTGCTCTCTGCAATGCTCTGGTGACTGGTATTCGCTGGTACCAGTGTCCAACACCTTCAACTTCCCAAAGGAGTTCATGGTCTCCTGGATACTTTTCAAAGTATTGCTTACAAGCTGGAAAACACATTTAGAATTTTCTAGAAATCTCAAATATGAACTCTTTTTGGACAATAGAAAGAAGATGGAAAGTAAGCTGCCCGACTGATTCAATGGGGCTAGTGTAACCTTGAAACCAAACCACCACCAAGGCAGCTCAAGAATAGGTATGGAGCAGCCTCATTTACAAATAAAAATCCCAAATAAAACACTAACATGACCAAGCAATAAAAATTCTAATAAAAAAGGGCTTTGCCTTTAAAGAGAAGATTATTAAATATTACTGAGGGACATAAAAGAACTGATTAAAGAAAATATCAAACATTACAGCATAAAAACACCAGTTCTTACCAAATTAATCTGTAAATTTCAAATAAAACCCCAAGAGAGTGTACTGTTAATGAAACCTGACACAACGTGACCCCAATTTCAAAACCAAAGAATAAAGGGTTAAGAAAACATTCAGGTCTATTAAAGAAGAAAAATAAGAATAAGGACTTGTCCAAGCAGATACAAGACTCATATAAGCCACAGCAATTAAAACCACCAAGCCTACATTAACAGACTGAGGGGTAGGTGAAAAGGAGAAGAAAAATTATCAGGGAATGGGGGAAACAGAACAAAACATCCACCAGGAAAGAACTACACAGAACATTAAAACTCGGCAAACGACACAAGAGACATCATATTTCAGCAGAGGATGGATAAACTTGTTTTAATGGTGCTGAATTCAAGACTTGTACTTAAAAGAAAAAAATAAAGTCAGATCTCACATCAACATCCCTCAAAAAAATAAACTCTATATGGATTCTAAGATCTAACGTGAAAAGCAAAATAATTAAATGAAAACAGTGGTATACTTCTAGGTCACTAGAGTTCCAACAGATTTCTTAGAAGAGACACAAAAATCAGAGTTGATAATAAAAAATGAATATAGACCTGATTGTTAAGATGTAAAAGCTTTCATTATCAGGAACCCTGTAACAGAACTTTCTGGGATAACGGGAATGTGCTTATCAGCGCTGTCCAACACAGTAGTCACAAGCCCCAGGTGGCAACTGAGAAGCTGAACTTGCCATTTTATTTAACTTCAACTTCTATGTAAATCTGTGGCCACTGTATTGGACCTTACTGTTCCATATGAAAACAGTACCATAAAGACCCAGGTGAAGAATTATTTAGAATAAAACAAAGAATTTATAAATCAGAGAATATAAAAAAATTTAAATTGGATTCAAAAGATTAAATTATCCCAACGGAAAATTGAGAGAAGCTATAACCAGAATGAGATGTGAATAGTTCATAACAAAAACGATAAAACCTCAGTAGCTGTCCAGGACATAGCAGATAAAACAAGATATCCTTTTCATACCCTGGGGTAATAACAAGCATCAGGAAGAACAAGGGAAATGGAAACTCCCATACTCTGCTGGCCGGAGAACAATTCTGCAACAGCTAATAAAGGTGAAGAGACATATGATCTGATTCTACTTCTAGATATACCCAATACATCCTATGAGAAGACTTCAAAACAGTTGCAGAAAAATGAAATTAAAATATGAGTTTATTTTGGTACAACAAACATCTAAAATCCATGCATATTTTTCTCATACATTCTCCATGAACTTTATTTTTTTAAGAGAGAGATTTTTCCTACAGGACACATGCATTCCCCGGAGAGACAGAGACAAAAAGCTAGAAATAACCCCCCCTGGGGGGATGGGGGACAGTCATGCCTTAGCTCTTTCTCTTCTATTCTCCTCTTGGCATTTTTGGGCATGTATGCATGCACTAGCACCAAGCATAAGTTTTAAGCCACCAGGTCTGGGACTCAAACTGCAGTCGACTATGTGGGAACCCAGGGACATAACCATCTGCTGGTCCCTCTATATGAACTTCTTGTAGATTCCCTCAGCTATAAATACAAGAAGATATCAAAAATGTTCTTTACAAGACTGTTTTTAAACTAAAGTTGAAGGGGGGCACAACCTAACCGTCCATCAGTAGGGGGATTTATAAGACTATATTATGAGACCAGCAGTTAGCGTAATGGCTATGTCGCTGAACTCCCATGTAGCCGATCACGGTTCGAGTCCCAGACCCGGTGGCTTAAACTCACACCGGGCGCATGTGCGTGCGTGCCCAAGATCCCAAGAGGAGAATGGAAGAGAAGGGATTGCAGCGTGGCCATCTCCCCAGGGGGTGATTTCTCGCTTTCTATCTCTCTGTCTCTCTCTTTCTGGTGAGCACACATCCCCTACAGCAAAAAAACTCTAAAAATTATTTTCTTAAAAACAAATATATTATAACAATATGCATGCAATAAAATACAACATAGCAATTAAAAGAAATGAACTACAGCTTACATCCACATTGGTAAATCTAAAAAAAAAAAAAATTCAATAAAAAAAGGATCCAGCCTCTATCGCACATTGTGTGGCCTGCTGGACTGCTGTGCTGTAAGCAGTGTGGCCAACCACGATTCAGATCCCAGGCTCTGTTGATCTGAAACATGCCATGTGTGCATGCACACGACCAAGACCTTGAAAGGCTGGAGATGCGGGAAGGGGGACTATGGCGTTACTGGACCCTGTTGGGGGTTACTTCTTTCTCTCTTTCCTCTCTTTGGTCTCTCATGCTCACATCCTATCATAAATTTTTAAATTACTTTTAAAAGTCAGTATGTGGGGACCACCAGATGGCATAACGTTTACGTTGCTGGACTCCCACTTAGTCAGTTATGGTTTGGACCCAGCGGCTTGAAACTCACACTGGGAACATGTGCATGTGTGCGTGCCCAAGATCCCAAGAGAATGGAGAAGAGATTACAGCATGGCCGTCCCCCGCTGGGGGGTGATTTCCTGCATTCTGTCTCTCTGTCTCTATCTCTCCAACAAGCACACATGTACTATGGCAAATCTCTTTCAAACAAAAAGTCAGTATGTGTACAAATTGATAGTATTTATATAAAGTTTAAAAACACACTAAATAGGGCCAGCCCCTTAGTGCTGTGGTTAAGCACTATGCTTTGGAAACCGGATACTACATGGATAACCATGGTTTGAATTCTGGTCTGGGCAGCTTATAAAATATGCCAGGCATGTGTATATACATGCCCAAAATTGCGATGGGAAGGTAAAAATGGAGGAAAAGTGAATTAAATTATGAGTTTATTATGGTGCAAAAACATTTTAAATGCATGCAGTTTTTTTTTTCATTAACTTTTCCTTTTAACACTAGCTTATCCTAATAAAAATAATAATTTTTTTGTTAATTTTTTGTTATAGAGCATGTGAGCTCTCCAATGAGAAAGAAAGTGAGAAATCATACACACCCCCCACTAAGAGGAGATGCAACACTGCAATCCCTTCTCTATTCTCTCCTTGAGATACGGGGCATGCATACACACCTAACTGGTATGTTTTTCAAGTTGCCAGGTCCAGGGCTCCAACCATGGATTCAGCCAAGTGAGATCCAGCTGCTTTAACCTCCACACAACCTGCTGGCCCCAAATAACAATTTTAAAAAATATAACCTGACTATATTTCAATATATAACTTCTATACAATGAAAAAAATAAAATATCAAGCCAGTCAGAGGTATGGTGGTTAAGGTAGCTGGATCCCATATGACTGACTGCATGGTTTGAGTTCTGGACCCAACAGCCTGAAAAATGAACTGGATGCATCTGTGTGCCTGTCCAAAATCCAAGAGGAAAATGGAGAAGGGACTGTGGCATGGCCATCCCCCACAGTGGGTAATTTCTCACTTCCTCTCTGTCTGTCTACTGTTTTTTCTTACAAGCACATGCACCCTATAGCAAGAACTTAAATACATACGTACATAAAAGCAGCACAGTAAAATAAATGGGAAAAATGTATTTCATTTGTGACACATGACAAAACACTAACATCCTTAAGATGAGTTCCTAGAAATCAGTAACACAGACTAACATTACAAAATATAGAATGCTTTACAAATTTACATGACATCCCTGAACAGGGGCCATAGAATCTTCTGAAAGTGAGCACACAAGTAACAGTTAACCAGAAACAATGTCCATCAATAGTTAGGGTATATCCATTTCTAGCATACTATGCAAAAAAAAAACCCACAAAAAAAAACCCCAAAAAACAAACAAACAAACAAAAATACCAAACCAGCCTATATCTCAGCAAGTATGTACAAAAAAAAAAAACTTTTTTTTTTTTTAAAGACAGGGTCTTGCCATGTTGTAATTCTCCGGCCCTGGCCTCCCAGTTGGGACTACAACCATTCACTGCCATGACCAGCTCAATGTTAGGGTTTTACTATGCTGTCCAAGCCGGCCTCAAGTTACTGTGAAAAGGAAAAGTTAACGTAAAATATGTATTATGAAAAAAACTGCATGTATTTCAATTTTTTGTATCACAAGATATACAGAAAATAACAAATATTTGTAAAGATGTGGAGAAATTGCTATCCTCATATATTGCTCATAGAAATGTAAAATGGTACAATTGCTTTGGAACAAAATCTGGCATATTCATAAATGGAATAGCTGTAAAAAGAAAAGAAGTACTAATTCATGCTATAACATGGGTGAACCTGGAAAACATGCTAAGTGAAAAAAGCCAGACACAGGAAGTCACATACTATATGATTCCATTTATGAGTATGTCCAAAATGGGTAAATCTATAGAGACAGAAAATAGATTAGTGGTTGCCAGAGAATGCAGGAAGGAGAGAACAGAGAATGACTGCTAACTGGTTTCAGAGGTTCTTCTGGAGTGATGTGAATGTTCTAGAATTAGTGGTTACAGTTGCACAATTGTGAATATTCTTAAAAAATCCCACTTAATTGTGTTTTTTGATGATGTTTTAAAAATGTTTTTAACATTTTAATGGGAGGATTTACGATATGTGAATTATATCTAACATTCTTTAAGTCACACATACATCCAAAGCCATATAAATGAGATAAGGGCACCTTTTACAAACTCCTAGAGAGCCTTATTTAACACGGTTGAGCATCCATAATCCAAAATCTGACATGTTCCAAATCTGAAACTTTAGAGTACATGTAGAAAGTTCCATACCTGAGTTCACATGACAGATCATAGCCAAAGCACAGGTACACAACACTCTACACACAGTTTATTCAGTATCCCGAAGGGAAAAAATGACCCTCCCACCCCCCTTCAACTTTGATATGTCTTTTCCGTGTACACCCACAAAGGGTTTCATGCACAAAATTATTAAAAAATATTGTATAAAATTACCTTCAGGCTATGTGTCTAAGGTGAATATGAAACAAGTATTGTGTGTTTAGACTTTCATCTCATCACCAAGATCTCATTATGAATATATGCAATTATTACAAAATCCAAAAAGAAATCCAAAATTTGAAACATTTCTGTCTCAAGTAGTTTGGATAGGGGATACTCAATTTAGAGACACATTTAAAATAATCTGGAGAAACTAGTCAGAAGTGACGCTGAGACAAGCTTACTACACATTTTAGTTTAGCCCATTTACCTGTGCACATTAGAGAAGACAGTGGATACCGCAAGCCAAGAGCATCTTCTGTAAAGGAATCAACGAAATCCTCCAGCATATTAAGCCCAAAATCTCTGCCCCGGTATTTCTTTCTTACAAACATTGTATCAAGAACTGGCAGTTGGTAACTTTGGGTAAGAAATGAGGTACACATGCTTCCTGCAATAACAAAAAACAGAAATTCAGCACATTATCATATTTATATATGATAGATAAATACATATATCTAGTGAACATAAGTTACCAGTCTTTACAAAGATGTTTTTTGCCCCACATCAAAAAGAATGCTTGTGTATAAACTCCATAGTATGAAGTGTTTTCTAGCTGCTACTACATCATAATGTATGTCTGTGATAATAAGTGGAGCAATATATTTTGTTTGCTAACAGTATCATCCAATACAGGTAATGGATAGTAATCCATTACCATTATCTGAAATATATACTTAGCTATGCATATTATCACTGTCTAGGAGACTTATACATTAAAATCTGTCAACTATCAAAAGTTCAAATTCAAACAGCATTTTATGACTGTATGGTTCATAATATATAAAGCATATTAAATTAATTAATCAACTTTAGCACCTGAACACTCATCCTGCCCCTTTTCTCTGTCACAGGTACTGTCTCATTTTTATCTACTTGATGACGGTAAAGAAGTGAATTTGCTCTTCAATTTTTTAATAATTATTTATTTAATTTTATCCATTATTATTATTTTAATATGATCAGAGGGGGGGGTGGAGAAAGCAAGCCACTGTGTCCAGGACTCAAACTGTACTCAGCCATGTCGGATGAGAGTCCAACACTTCAACTACCACACCACCTACCACCTGCTGGCCCCAAGTTCTCCAAATTTTTAAGAACTATGAATTAGAATGAATGGGAGACATTCATCTTAGAAATGGCCAAGTCAGCAAACATTTTTGCTGTAGATATAATTCTAAATGTTTTCTATCTTTGAGGTTAAACAGGAGAAATAATTTATAGTGTTTTAATATGCCTCTCCTGTGTCACTCCTATAGTGCAGTGGTTAATCTCAGTGTGCAGGAGCCAGATCCCACGTGGCCAAACACTGTCCAAATCCTGGTCCTATTGGTTAGAAAAACATTGCAGGCATGTGTGTGTGTGTGTGTGTGTGTGTGTGTGTGTGTGACCCAAATCTTGATGAGATGGATAAATGGAGAAAGGGGACTATGGCATGACCACACTCAAACAAGGGGTGCTTTTTCTTTCTCCCTCTCTGGTGAGCTCATAGACTTTCTGGCAATTAAAAATAATTTTTGAAATATTAATAAAGATGCCTTTTCTTATTATAGAGCTATACTTCTTTGTCTTTTTTTTTTTTTTTTTTTTATGATTTTTCCACCGTGG